AAGCCCCCTGCATTTCACTATGATTTTATGTTTTGACGATATTAGATTGATATTTACTTGAAAATAATTGATTTGCAAGGGTTTTAGTGGCAATACGTGTGTTCTGCAGCAAAACATATGGAAGTTTAGCCCTCAAATCAGTACATCTGTGTGTGGGTGCATAATAAATAAAAATTTACCAATGCACCAATTAAAAAATCGATGAATGAAAGGCTGGCTCAACATTACACAACGGCGATCCAACAGTCCCAGAATACAGGCGCCAAGTCTATCTAGCAAATTCGGATGCACACCTGATAGATGGTCAAGGAAACAGAAGCACCGATGAAATCACAGTTCGATGTGATCCCATCTGATGCGCCTTGTTGGCCCTGCTAACGGAATCACGCCTTGTTGTAGTTCGATGTTTGGAGAAATCAAAGGCGTCGAAAAGTTCACACCTGGGTGTCATCCTTTCATTATACGGCCCATGCTCATGAAGCGAACATTGTACCACTCATCGAGAAATTTAGAGCGGAGATGTGATCGTTGGCATGAGTGTGAATGATCTATGAAAGATTTTTTGTTCAGTAAAATATGATCTGAAATGCTTCAACTTCAGATTCCAGAGTGGGATGTAAGGGGTTACTTTTGTGTAGTAAACTTTGTTGTTTTTGGGGGGTTCGTTTCTTTTTTTTAAACAACAGGATCATAAACGATGGGATCTCAGGTGGAGACTACTATTGTAGTAGTAAAGAAGTCTCTAACTAGTTCCACCCCACCCCGTCTTTCTTTAACAGAGAAGTTATTCACCCTTGTTGTTAAACAGGTTCTGATTTTGTAATTAGTTTTTTTAAAATTTGGAGCCGCTATGACATCTACATTTAAACATCAGCAATAGTAATGAGATAAATGAGTTTTAAAACATAAAGTGAGTCTACTGACTTGCCTAATCTCAAGGACCTCAGAATAAAACCTTCTTTCCTATCTAAATTTCAGTGCGAGAGTCGGGCAGCGCGCAGCGCAGATTGACCATAGTTCCGCTGCGAGAGGAGGCTCCTATCAGGCATGTGTTGCCACCCACAGAGCAGCCTCCATTACTGTATAACATCCTTGCGGTACATTATTATTAATGAGACGGCATATCTCAAAAGTGCTCCTGCCGAATAGTGCCGAAACATAGCCCACAATACGTAGTCTAAAAATAAACACGATGGACTGTACACTATTCTATGCTAAAATTATGTGAGCTCCAGAGCAATCTAGCAGATTGTTCAAGTGAATTGTGATTGGTTCATTGTGTCTTGCCACTATTTTAAATGATTCTGTGACCGTGAACCTGAGGGAGGTGAACGTGACCGCCCTGTGAGTTGTGCCTTTGAATGGTGTTGTAGTGGAGTGGTGAAATTTATTACTTGAGTGTTCAGTTCTAAAGCAGGGTGAACGAAATTGATGTTTAGCTAACAAACAAATTTAGTTCTAGAAATAAGTGATAAGTAAAAAGAATGAAGATAAAAGCACGAGGTCCTCCCTCACCATCCCA